TTCAGAGCCTCCATTTCTGCTTTTCTGGTAAGTTGTACACTGAAGACCCTCTTGTCACAGAATGCCCCCTGAGGCCCTACCATGTCATCAGTAACATTACATGTTCATTGAGCACCTGCCACAGCAAGGACATTTTCTGTACCTGGTGGTCATGAGTGAATCACCAAGCCCATGGTCCTTGTTACGTATTTATTTACTTACTCTGAGAGAGTGCGAGTGTGAATGTGAGCAGGAGAGGGGCAGGGAGCAAGGGAGAGAAGGTATCCCAAGCAGGCTCCACAGTGTCAGCACAGAGCCCAACGCGGAGCTCAGACCCATGAACCATGAGATCATAACCTGAGCCAAAATCAACAGTTGGACACTTAACCAACTGAGCCACCCAGGTGCCCTGGTCCTCTTCCTTTAAAAGGAGGTGGCCTACAAGGCCATGTCTCCAGGGAGAAAAGGTCCTAGGAATGAGCTCCACCCAGAGCAGGCCCTCTTTGCTCTCCCAGAGCCTGGCCACAGCCCGTGACGTCCATGGCTTTGAGCAGACTGCGGCCCAGCTCCAGAGCTGGATTCAGGAGAAGTTCACCCTGATGGGGAGAGACATCTGTGGCCACAGCCTGTCATCGGTGCAGACCTTACAGCAACAGCACAGGTGTCTGGAGGTGAGGGTCCAGGCCCATAGTCTGCCCTTCAGAGTCCCTCTCTGCAGGTGGTAGGTAGGGGACCCTCAGAGGGGAGGAGGGCAGGCCCTCCCAGCCGGGGAGTGCTTGCCCAGGTCATGGAACAGAGTGGAGTTGGCTTGGGCAAGTCTGGGAAGCGGATCAGAATCCTCTGAGAGGACCAAAAGAGGAACATCTGTCAGGCTGCCGGGGTGAGACCTGATCATGCGTTCTGGTGGCAGAGGGAGCTGGCAGCTGTGGAGAAGGAGGTGGCGCGGGTGCGGATGGAGGCCTGCAGACTGGGCCAGCTACACCCTGTGGCCCGGGAGGGCCTGTCTGAGCATCTGGCCAAGGTGGAAGATGCCTGGGCCAACCTGGACGCCAAGGCCCAGGAACGGGGTCAGCGGCTGGAGCAGGCTGCCCAGGGCCATGCCTTCCTTGGCCGCTGTAGGGAACTGCTGTAAGTGGGCCCCCTGCCCTGCTGTTGGCTCAGCTCTGCCCTGAGGGGTGTGGGGAGGAACCCCAGCTCTTCAGGGAGCTGGACTCCCATTCCCTGCACACAGCTTCTGCCCTGCCTCCCAAGGCTTCCCTCCCAGCCCTGACCGCAGCCTCATCTCCCTGCCCCCAGAGTATGGGCTCAGGAGAAGCAGGTTCTGGCTTCATCAGAGGCACTGGCTGGGGCCGTGCTGGGGGCCGAGCGGCTCTTGGTGCAGCATGAAGAGCTGGGGCAAGAAGTCAAGGAGTGTTGCCTTCGGGCCCAGGCCATACAGCAGGAAGGGCAGCAGCTGGTGGACAGTGGCCACTTCATGTCCCGGGAGGTAGGAGCACAAAGGCGAGCCTGGGGTTGAGCTGAGGAGGGAACCTAACCACCCAAGGCCATTCCTAGCAGGAATGGAAACCCTCAAGAGAAGAAGGCGGGACAAGGGATGCAGACAGAGGCAGAGAAGGGGAGGGTCTGGGCCTTCCCTGGACCTTTCTGCTGGGCACCTGCCCTGCCCTGCCCTGCCTTGGGGCTTCTGCTCGAGCATCTGGCCATCAGCGCCGCTTCCCACCAGGTGACACGGTGTCTGCGGGAACTGGAAGGGCAGCTGCAGGCACTCGCGGAGGCCTGCGCCCTACGCCAGGAGCGCTGCGAGGAGAACCGGGGCCTGCAGAAGCGGCGGCAGGAGCTGGACCAGGCCGAAGCCTGGCTGGCCTCCCTGGAGGGCCTGCTGCTGGACCCCAACTGCGGGGTGAGCCACCCTTGACCAGCTGCGTGGACGGCAGCTGTCGCCAGGGACAGGTCCTGTCGCTCCTCCGCTCCCTGAACAGACAAGCCAGGCTGTGGACAGTGAGGGGGTGGCTCTCAGCTCCCCTTGGAGCTGGGCCTCACCCTGACCTCCATCTCCCCAGCACTCTGTGGCCGACGTGGAGTTGCTGCTCCACAGACACCAGAACTTAGAAAAGTTGCTGGCAGCCCAGGAAGAGAAGTTTGCCCAATTGCAGAGGGAGGAAGGGGTGAGTGGAGGCTGCGGGGAGAGTACACCAGGAGCTAGGGGTCTGAGGGCCAGAGCATCTTGGTCTCAGCCTGGGTCGGGACCTCTCCACAAAGTACTGAGCCTAACACCTCTGACCCCTCAGGAAAACCTTGTTCTTTGCCCGGGCAGCCGCAGGGCCCTGTCACCTGGGTGTCCTGGTAGGTTAGAGCCCCACCATGGACCAGGATGACAGGGAAGTCTCCTGAGCTGAAGCAGAAGAGAAGCCCCATGACGAGACAGGGATCTCTCCAGGGGGAAGGGATCGGGGGAGGACCGGCTGACCTGGCTTACCTTACTCCCCTTTCCGAGGTGGAACAAAAGCTGCTGCAGCAGGGGACAGGGCTGAAACCCAGGAGCGTTGGCCACGAGCTCCCCTCCCTCCAGCAGAGGCCCCTAGGAAGCAGGGGGCCAGCAGTATTGGCTGAGACAAGGGACCTGCAGCCAGGTGTCCCCCGCGTTGGGTCGCACATAGTCTTGGCCACCACTGTCTCCTTGGAAGGTGCAGCCAGGCAGCAAGAGCGCAGTAGGGCTGGGGCCTTAGGGGTAAGGCCCACACCCTGCTGCTAGCGCTGAGGCCCTGGGGGCTGGGGCCACTGGGCATAGGAGCTGAGAGTCCCCGGGAGTGAAGTGGTCAAAAAGGGGTAGATTCCTAGCCCACCTTTCAGAGGGGTCCTGTCCTCTGTTGCTGGATGTTTCCTGGGCCCTTTCTTGTACTTTCAGGATGCAAAGGATGCCCCCACGGTGGAAGGATTTTCGGAGCTCAAGCAGCAGTGGCCTGCAGCGAGGCAGGTAAGTACCAGGAGATGCCTTCTGCAGGCAGCTCTCCTCCACAGAACCACTTGGGCTGAGAGGGGCCATCAGGGCATGGCACCCTGCATTATGGTGGATATCCTCCCCACTCCAGGCTTAAGACCGCTTCATTCTTTTTTTTTTCCTTTTTATATTTTATTTTAGTAATTTCTGTGCCCAATGTGGGGCTCAAACTCACAACCCCAAGATCAAGAGTGGCATGCTTGGGGCGCCTGGGTGGCTTAGTCGGTTAAGCGTCCGACTTTCGCTCAGGTCATGATCTCGCGGTTCGTGCGTTCGAGCCCCGCGTCGGGCTCTGTGCTGACGGCCAGCTCAGAGCCTGGAGCCTGTTTCAGTCTGTGACTCCCTCTCTCTCTGATCCTCCCCTGCTCATGCTGTCTCTCTCTCTCTCTCTCCTAGAAATAAAAAAAACATTAAAAAAAAAAAAGAGTGGCATGCTCTACCCACTGAGCCAGCCATGTGCCCCAAGATAGTTTCATTCTTAAGATCCCTCATAGCTTCTGCCCCTACCCAGGTAGGGAGTGAGGCCCTCTTCCTCCTCTTCTAGTTTCCCTGCACATTATTCCCTGGCTCCCTCTTCCCCATGGACACCTTGGACCAGCCCAGGACTTTGCCTGGGAGCCTCTGGAGACACACGGTCAGGCTTCGGCGAGGCCAGGCTCCAGTCTCCTCTCCACGCTCAGCTGGTTCCACCTCACTGCCCTCTCTCCACAGCCCAGCTTCAGTCCTTGGGATGACTGTTGTGGGACCTTCAGGGGCAGTCCCCTGAGCCTCTTCTGGGACAAGAAGACAGCAGAAGTACTGGGCAGTGGAATATGGGGGAGGCAGAAGATGGGCCCGTGGAGAAGAGAGGCCATGGCAGACATGGCCAAGGTGACCCTTCTCTCATCTCTTCTCAGAATATGGCCCCCATGGACACCCTTCATCTCACAGGAGCCCAGTGTGAGAGGCAGAGGTACTGGCACGACAGGAAACATGCTTTCTCCTTAAGGTGAGGGCCACATGGGGAGAGAGACTCTGGCCCCCAGACATACTGACCCAGCAGACACGGCCTCTCAAGAGCAGCCAAGAGGCTAGAGGCAGGGTTCTCCCACAAGGAAGGCAAGAGTTTTGACCCATGGCTCTCTGCCCGGCAGGCTGAGCAGTGATGTGGGGATTCCATCTGCAGCACTATTGGAAGGGCATGCCGAGAGCTGGCATCGAGCCCCGAGCAACATGGCAGGTATGCACCTTGGCAAGCCTGGGGCAGGACTTGGGGAACTGATTCCCTGGGCCCCAAGCTGCACTTTCCTGCATCCTCTCAGGCTATAGAGGTGCCATACTGTCTACAGCCTGAGAGGTAAGTGAGACTCAGTATCTTTTCTCAAAGAATCTAAGGCCCAGAAAGGGTAAACAACTTACCCAAGATCACACTCCTAATTAGTACTGGAAGTAGGGCCATGTTTGACCTGCTGGCTGCCTCCTGGTCCTGTCTCACCCCCTTAGGGGAGTCAGAGAGGCAGACTCCCCAGAGTGTTTCTAGGCTTGTTCTGCAAACTGGGACCTTCTCTAACCTTCCAGTCCTCAAATAGCTCTGAATGTACCACCCTTGGGGGTATGGACAATGGCCAAACCCACTTCTATCACAAGGGATGCCTGGAAAGCACCCCTGCACCAGGAATCTCTTGGTCCGTGTGGTCCAGGATCCACCTGGACAGTGTGTGTTCTGATCATGTCACTCCCCAGGTAGGAGTCCCTTCCTGTTCCAGTCTCTGGGTTCTTGGCTCCATTCCTCACACTGTCTCTGGCCCCCTGGTATCTCTCTGAGCCTGTCCTTCCAGAATCCCAAAGGGATCTTGGGTTTCTTCAGGATCTCCTCCAGGCTGAGCCTTTCTTAGCCCATCTGCACTCAGCCTTCTGGAGGCCAGGTACACGGAGGTGCCTGCACTACGCCTCCACTGGGGCAAGGCTTGGTGCGGACAGAGCCTCCTGCAGCAGTTGTAGCTTAGTCTGTTTGGGCTGCTTTTCACAAAAATACCAGACTGGGTAGGTTACAGACAAGAGCCATTTATTTCTCACAGTGCTGGAGGGGGGGAAGTCCAACAGCAAGGCGCCAGCCCATTGGGTGTTCGCTAAGAGTTGTCTTTTGGGGTAGGTGGGTGTCCTAGCTTGTGGTAAGCTGAAGGGGTGAGGTCCTAGCTCACTGGGGTGTTCGCTGTCAGGGCTCCACCCTCATGCCCTAATCACCTCCCACTACTCTCACCTGGGGGTTAGGATTTGACTAGAGAGGCAGACATACGGACACTAGCAAAGAGGAAGGACCCTGCAGGGAGGGTGCTGGCTGCTGAGGGCCTAGCAGCTGCGCCAGGCTGACCATGGCACGCCCTGTGCTCTCAGCCCACAGGCTGAGCCTGGAGCTCCGAGCCAGACCTCTGCGCTTCCCTGTGGAGCACAGTGCTGAGAGGGTGCCCAGTGCAGCTGCCGCCCTCAGGTAGGACAGCTGGGTATATGGGTAGGTGGGAGTCCTGTGCCCCCAGGACTGGCACAGATGCTGCCCTCTTAAGCCCAAGATCCATAGACTCTAACCTGAACTGCTAGGGGGAGGAGTGACTCTCATCTTTGAGACCCTCAACAGGAAATCCTAGCACCCACCTTGTCTGGTGCAAAACCCCCTAATGGTAACTATGTCCAGGCCCTGAGGCTGCCTTTCCCCACAGCTCCTGGGGCTGGCCCCTGACCACCTCCCTGACAGAGATCCGTGTGAGTGCTGACGGCCAGCTGCAGGCTGCTGGCCCTGCCCAGGCCAAGCCCAAGGTACAGGGCCCCCCGGGTGTCCCCTTGTATATGCGGGAATGGCTGCCTGGCTCTGTCTCCTGGGATTGCCACCTCTCTCATCCCTTGGTCTCCTCTTGCTGTGTAAGACAGAAGCCAGGTTGCAGTACAGCTGCCCCCACCTGCACCCTGCTCTGATGTGAAAGAGGAGCCCTACTGCCCCAACGCAGGCCAGAAGCAGGCAGTCACCCCCATGCACAGAGACAGACCCCCAGCCGGTTGGGCTTGAGGGGCACTCACCGCACACTGGAGGGCAGTCATGACTGTGGGCTGGGGCAGTTCTGCAAGCCCATCCCGCAGGGCCCATGGGCTCCACTTTATGATTCAGAGGATGTTGCTGAATGAATAGGCCTGATCCTGGATGGTGGCTTCTAAGGCTACCAAGGCAGCCATTTCTTCTGCTGTGCTGACTCTAGCCACATGCTTAGGACAGGGCCCAAGAATCACTGGGCCACGGGACTCAGTCCTCTCCTCTCTGCCCCACACACCATGGTCACTCTCGCAGCTGCCTATCAGCTTCTGGGACTCACATCAACATGTTCCAAGGGAGGCCAGAGGCCTTGCACACCAGTGCTTGACAAAGATTGTGAGGAGGCTAGGCCCTCATTTCACTCTGCTTCCCTGTTCTCCCAACAGGTCTGGGGCCTGGAAGCAAACCCTGAGGTGGCACCAACCCTCAAGGCTACAAACAAGGACGGCCTCTAGGGGATCAGAATGAGATTCTGCTGCCAGGCCCCTCAGGACCAAATTCTGGAACAGATGGTGCCTTGATAAGAGGTAGCCCTCACCGAGGTCACAATTTGCTGGGGTTATGCTATCGGGGCTGGTCTCTGGCTCCTCTGACCCCAGGGGTGCTGTGTCACCGCCGATGAGTCTGCTACTGGAGCCCTGGCCCTGCCCAGACGAGCAGAGAACCCCCAGGCCAAACTAGCCTCCCTGCTTGGAAAGAATGTCTCCGGCAGGGCAGACATGGCCTTGAGCAGATGCTCTTCAGGGGAAGTCTGGACTGACCTGCTCTATAGCCTGGTGAGGTACCTGCGGTGATGTTGTTCAAACCAGTCCTTGCTGTGGTGTAACCAAGAGCCTGGAATGACCTGTCCGTTTGCAGTAATGACAAATAATCTGTTAACAACTCACCAGATACAAGCCTCTGTGATGTATATACCACTCTATTTCACTCCGTACAACTATTCAAAGGAGCAAGGGAAAGGGTCACATAGCCTTGAACACCTCTGCAAATATGGTCAATGCTGGCCTGGGCTCCAGCTGTTGTTCCCTAGGGCTACCTTGCGCCTGAGGAGACAGGGCTCAGCCCTTTTAAAACCCTCAACCTACCCACAAATGTCTGTGGAGAAGGTGCCGGTGACTGCAGGGCCCCATATGGGCCAGGCCGTCCGGGAGGCTCTGGAACCCTTGGGGATGATGGTCTCTGCCCCACCTCGCCCAGGTGCATAGGGCACGAGTCTGACAAAGGTTCAGGGCCGTGGAGGCGAGGGGGGAACACCGGCCAGGGCAGCGCCATCACTGCGGCCGGTGCTGCCGGCGCTGCCGCCTCCGCTGCACCGCTCCACTCAGGGCTTCCAGCAGCCGCTCCCGGTTGTTGCAGATGTTGTAATGTGTCAGGTGGAGTAGCTTGTCCAAGTCCTCTGGGCTGTAGGTCACTTTTGAGTAGTGGTAGGGAGAGTCGGATGAAGACAGGTTCACCTCCCCCGCCGCCTTCTCCTCTGGTGTCCGCAGGATGCCTGGTGGAGTGAGTGTGGTAGGGATGGGACACACCCTAAGGGGTGGGGGTGTCTAGGGTCCCCTGGGCAGAGACATACAGGAGGGAGGGGTCGGGGCTCACCAGGGGCCGAGTACTGCTGGAAGGAGTCATTGACCAGAGGGAAGTGCAGCACAGCTGGGGCGTCAGGGTGGTCTGGGTCGGAGAAGCAGAAGCATTCTGGGGGCTGGCGCTGCTCCTCCGGACTGGGGGACACAGGCGGGAAAGGGATGCCCTGCTCCTGGCAGAGCCTGCCCAGGAGCTGCAGCTGCTGCAGGGTGGCCAGAAGTGGTGTCAGAGCGTGGTATCCCAACACTGGGCCATCTGAATGTGGGGGTCAGCTGGGGTGTGGGAAGTGGTGCCTGGGTGCCAAGCCAGACCCCTGCAGACCCCTAGCACCAGGCTGCAGAAGGTGCTCCAACCCCGCAGCTGTGTGGGGCTGCTAACTCCTCCCAGGTTCTGCAAAAACCTTCACAAGAAAACCCACAGCAGAGGCCTCTAGAGGTCTAGACTGAATGGAGGTAGCAGGTACCACAAAGGGGACCCAAACATAAAATACACTTAAAAATCCCCAGCTCCTGTCCCTCTCTGACTGCTGTCCCTCTGCTGGCTTTTGAGGTCCTGAAGCCCTCCGGCCCTCTGTTCCCATCCTGGACTCCAAAGCAGACATCCCAGAAGGCAGGAGCCCAGACATCGGGCCAGGCCTAGGGTCAGCACGACTGCCCACCCCTGCCTCCAGCCCACCTGAAACGCTCCTTGGAGGTTGTAATCCAGTGACAGGATGAGGTCCACATCCCGTGTGGGGCGCAGAAGGGGTGGGAAACTGGTGTTGATAAGGTAGCCGACATCCAGCAGGCAAAGGTGGGGCTCTGCAGGTGTCAGCTGGTGGGGGTGCCCATCCAATTTGGTGGCTGGACAAGTAGAAGGAATGGGGTGGAAAAGCAGCTACCACTGGTGCTGAGGACATCAGATCCCTCGGGCCTAGCTCCTTGCTAAGGGCAGAAGCCGACTCTGCCCTCTGGACCCTGTTCTCTCCTACCACAGTAGCCCTGACATTTCCCAAGATGCCACACAGGGGCCCTGATCCACAAATGAGGAGGGGAAAAAGGGCTGCTGGTCCAAGCAGCCCAGTGAACTAAGCCCAACAGAGCTTGGGGCCCACGGGTTGGAGAGTGGATGTCTGGACAAGGGACCCAAAGCTCAGGTGGTCATGGGAAGACCTTGGGGAGCTGGGACCAGGGAGAGAAGAGATACCTTTCCAGGTGGAGAAGTAAGGTTGTTGGAAATAGTCTTTGTGGAAATGGAGACCACGCAGGAAATTGTGGGTGGTCTGGGCCAGTGGGCGCCTTGTCAGAAGGTCAGTAAAAAAGTCAACAATCTTGCCGGCCCCAGTGGGAGGCTCTTCTATCTTGAGAAGAGGAACCTGTTCCTTGTCTGCTCAATTAAGAAGGGGGAAAGTAGAGCATTTTTTAGGAAATGGGGACCCCCTGAAATTTCACCCCAGCCTCTTTGGCCTCCCAAAGGCCTGCGAGTCCCCCGCCCTCCTCCATCCTCCAGATACAGCCCCTGGGGCAGCCTCTCCACTTCCTTACGAGGAGCCCAGGCACCCACCTAAATTGGCCTGATCCTGTGCCCAGCGGTCCCAGAACTGGCTGGGCTCTGAGGCCCAGTATAAGCTGTCCTGGAGGTTGGCTGCGTACAGGTTGCTCCAGATACCTGAGTGAGGGGACACAAGGGGAACGAACAAAAAGGACATGAGAGGGAGAGAGCCCTCCACCCCACCCCACCCCAACCTGATCCTTCCCCATGGCCCATCTGAGACTGGGAAGCATCCCCATGACTGAGCTGAGAGGTGGGGGCCTGACATCTTCCCCAGGCCCATTCTCCCCTCTATCCCAGCTTCCCTAATCTCCCAGGCCTCTCACCTTCCAGGAAGCAGATTCGGGACTCAGGAAGCCGCTTGGTGAGGTGCCCCATGAAGAACTCAGAGCCAAAGAGCTCGGAAGGGATGAAGGCACCATACTTGGGAAAGCCAACCTCATAGGGGGAAAACTCGCACCACTCTGCGAGGAGACCACACAGCTTCACTGCGGGGCTCAGAGCTCCAGGACCCTCAACCACCACAGGCTTCACAGCAGGGCAGCCAGAGACCTGGAGGCTCAGGCTGGTTGCAAGCACAGGCCCCATCCCAAAGCCTGAGTGACTCTGGTGGGAGGACTGATAGTCTCTGGAAAGCATGGGACCAGGCCCAGAAGAGATGAGTGTAACACCCATCTTCCTACACACAGGCACTCTGCTAGCCATGAGAGCATAGGTCTCCACTCCGGGGCTACTGACCTGCAAATTCAAAGGTGGTCAGGTTCTTCTCTTTGGTGTTAAGGGCACAGTAGATGGGTAGAGGGTTCTGGCCATGGCTCAGGGCCTCCCTCTGGTCTGAGAGAGTGTGCTCATGGGGCTGGTGGAAGGAGAGGATTTGAACCTAAAGCTGTGCTTTCTGGTGCCTGGGGCCTTTCCCCACCCCTGCTGCCCAGGGCAGCTCCCCATCTCTGAAACATGCCCTGGCCACACACCTGCCCCACTCCATACCTCATCATGCAGCAGTGCCTCGTTGATGAGTGCCCACAGGTTGGTGAAGCAGGGCGGGTGGCCCAGGTGGGCACGCTCCACCAGCTCCTGCCGGTACCGCTGCAGCTTGCTGGGAGCAAGCACACCCAACTTGCTCTTGGTCACCTGTGTTTTCAGTGACTCCGTGGGTCCTGCCAGGTCCTTTTGAGACCATTCTGGGTCCTCATAGAGGTTGGCCAAAGCCCTGGGAAAAGCCAAAATCCAGGGGGTCATCGCACACCTCGGGCTCTCTATCCTAAGACAACAGCCTAGCAGGTACCTTCCAATGGTCCCCCCCGAGCGCATTTCTCTCTGGCACATCCTTTCTCCCAGTTGGGTGGGAGGTACCTATGGGGTCCACAACAGCCTGACCGCCGCCACCCCCAGACTCCTGTACTCAACCTGCTGCCAGCTCACCAGGTGGAGCCAGAGGCCCCTGTGATATAGGAGATGCAATCCAAGAGACCCAGCTCCTTCAGGGCAGTCAGGTGCCCATACAAGGAAACCATCGCCCGGATCCCACCACCGGTGGCCATAACAGCTACCACTGGGATCTGGAAGAGAGGACAGCCAGGCCAGTCAAGGTCTGATCAGGGCTCTTGGGACCAGTTCTGGTCAGGCCTGCCTGCTGACAAGGGTCTAGTCAGAAGTAGCCTCTTGACGGTCAAGCTTAGCTGGTTATACAACTCCAGGAAAAAAATAGACAAGCTCCAGGCCTCATCTCCTCACCCCTAGCCCCTGAGGAGTCTGGTCATCGCTTTCTGGAAGGTGCATGGCCACCTCAAATGTCTCCCACATAGCCACACTTTCCCTCTTGCAAGGAGAAATCATCTCCCTAGAAAGTGTCCCAAGCTGATCTGAACCTCCAGGGAATGGCCCAGGCCAGCAGGCAGCCCTCAGGCTACATGGCTCACTGATGAGTCAGACAGGACCCAAGCCCAAAAACCTGGACCAGGCCAAAAATTAAACAACAGGAAAGGGGACGCTGGGCTGGCTCAGTCAGTTGAGAGTCCAACTTTTGGTTTTGGCTCAGGTCATAATCTTATGGTTTCATGGGTTCAAACCCTGTGTTGGGTTCTGTGCTAATAGCACAGAGCCTGCTCAGGATTCTTGCTCTCTGCCCATCCCCCACTCACACTGTCTCCATCTCAAAATCGATGAATAAACTTAACAAAAAAAGAAAAGAAACAATGAGAAGGAAAGCTATTTCCAGTGGGGCAGTCTTGTAAACTCCAGGTGTCTCATGCAATGCTCTGCATTTGATGGCACCAGGCTGCTGAGAACATCAAGTGAGAGGGAGGCAGGGCAGGGGCAGGCAGGTAAGAGGCAGGGCCAAGCTTTGGTCTGGTTAGGAAACAGTCAGCTCTGGGCTCGAGGCAGTCTGAGGATGCCCATCCAAGGGGGCCCAGCCCACAGACCTCATCTTCCTGCAAGTCTTCATCCAGCTGCAGGACCTGCTTCAGGGCCTTGGCCACCACCTGCTTCCTCTTGCTCAGGAAGGCCTGCTCCTCGGCACAGGGCCCGCAGCCTAGCCGCACAGCCAGTTCCCTAGGTCTGGGTGGGAAAGAAGGAACCATGAGGCAGCTCCCAGCCTCGTTACAGAAAAGGAAGCGGGGTCTGCCTCACCTAAGCAGCCCTTTTTTCTCTTTCTCTCTTTCTCTCTCCTCCTCAAACCTGCCTGTGTCCTGCCTGTGTCCTACCTGAAGCGTGACATGTGTGGCTATGATGGGGAGAAGGTGAACCTAGACCCACGCAGGGACACTTGGGGAATCCAAGAAAGTGGATTCATAGGACTAGAAATGCTGGTGCCTAAAAAGGCCCGTCTAGGGACCCACCACCACCAATCTACCCTTACCCACCCAAAAATGACTCCAGAGGAGACAAGAAAGTGTTGCCACGTCTTCGTGGTGAGAAGCTAGTCTCCTAGGCAAGTGAAGAAGGGCCAGGATGGGCGACTCCCCTTGTCTCATGAAGATTAGTTAAGGTCCACCTACAAGGGCCGCCACCCAAAGGGAGCCTGATTTCTCTCCTCTCGTGGGCTTCCTGGCCCTCTCTGTGCCTCAAGTTCAAGTGCCAGTACCTGCCTGCTCTCCCCCACGCCCATTCCCTGGATCCCGCCAGCTCTCACCCTTCTTCTTTTCTCAGCTCCACCCTCATCAGGGGTTCCTGAAAACCATAAACATTTCAGTCACAAAAGTTGGCCACCATGGTCCTCTCATCCCGGCCTGAGCCATACCCTATGACCATGCTCCCTTGGGCCTCTGGCCATCTCCATAGGGGCAAGGCCTGAGGTTTGAAAGCAGGTCTGCTCGGAAGACCTCTCTCTCCCCAGAGCCTGACTCAGCACTTGTGCAGGGCATGGCCCGAGGACTGAAGCTCCTACCACAGCAGGCCGGCCCTGTGAGGCATGGGGCCCAGCCCTGCCCATGCTTCTGGCATTCCAGTACCTGGGATGTAGGGAAGACAAGCCTCACCACCTGGCCAGAGGGCAAGGCACTCAGAGGCACCTTCAGTTGCTCTTGGGGGGCATCCTGCAGAGAGGATGAAAGAACACCTAAGAATAGCTTCTGTTCCAGCAGGGACCTCACCCATTGCCCCAGGGAGTGACAAAGCAGCAGCAGGAAGAGGGACAAGAGGCCAACCTCATCCCATACTCTTCCCAGTGTGCCTGATTCTGCCAGGGAGTGAGGAAGTGAGCAGCTCAGCATGAGCAGAGGGACTGGCTGAAGGAAGGGGGGGGGGGGCGGAGGGAGAAAGTCTCTGCAGGCCCCACCTCAGCAGCACCGTACCTGCAGATGAATATTCAGCTCCTGCTCCCAGAAGGCCGGGCAATGGAAGAAGGAGCCAGCACCCACGGAGGCCTCCTGAGGACCCTCGCAGGACCCAGGAACCATGAGCTGAACTCTTCCCATGGACTCTGGAAACCGGAACCAGAGCAGAGGGACTGAGAATAAGATCCTGGCCCAGGGGGCCCAAAAGTGTCTTGCATAAAGGGCCTGAGGGGCACTTCCTCCCCACCCCAAGAGGGAGGACTGGCATAGGCCAAGGCTCAGCCTCTCTGAAGACTAAGTGGACACAGATCCTGGGGAGCCTCAGCATGAATTTGTCCCTAACTTCTATGGCTGCCTATGAAAGTCAAGAGCAGTTAATGTAAGGTCCCTTCCAAGAACCTATAGAAAGAGGAAGACAAGGGGTGCCTAAGTGGCTCAGTGGGTTAAGTGTCCAACTCTGGCCCAGTCATGATCTCACGGCTCATGAGTTCAAGCCCCACGTCGGGCTCTGCACTAAGAGCTCTGAGCCTGGAGCCTGCTTCAGATTCTGCTCTGTCTCCCTCTGTCCCTCTCCCACTGGTGACTGTCACTCTCTCTAATATAAATTAACATTAAAAAATTTTTTTAAAACACAAAAACAAAGAGGAAGACCAGGGCAGAGGGCTGAGGGTTATCCTAATAGGTGGGGGACTTACGCTTCTGGTCCCCTGCCTCCTCCAGTCGAACATGCAAGCAAGAGAGCTCCCGGGCCTGAGTCATTAAAAAAGCCCTTCAGACTCAAACCCTTCCCCTGCTAGAGGCCCCCCACCCTCCTAGTACCCGAGTTTTGGTCCTCAGCACTTATTACCTTGGCCCTGAGTCACCAAAGATTTGCCTGAGGTTGTATCCTCTTAAGGAACCAAAATCCCAGGGACCCCCAACTCAGCTCTAACCGCAGATTCCCAAGGGGGTGCCCAAGCTTCAGTCCCAGGGAGGAGGGATAGCAATGGCATGAGGGAGGGGCTCTGGACTCACCACCAGAATGCCATTGGTGACAAGATGCTCAGCACAGTCTGTCCTGAAAGAGCCACCAGTGATCCTCAGGACAAGTCCAGGCTCCCAGGTTCTCATCCCTCAAAGAAGCCAGGAGCATTCCTCTACCATCACTAGATGCCTCAGAGGGAAGGGTGTCAGCTCCTGGCATGCTCTGGGTGCACTGGACTCCACCCTTCCCCAAAAGAAGTACTCCCACCCAGGAATTGCTCAGTGGCCCCCGACTCACAGTCGCTGCAGCCGAAATTCAACTTCTAGCCGCTCCTGACCCTGGAGAGAGAAAGAAGCAAGTTTGAAAGGGTGAGGAGTGTGTGTGTAGATTTCAACACAGATGCCAGCTGGGGCTGCTGGGGCTCCAGAGGTGGGGAGAGCCAATGTCCATCTCCACCCTGCTCTGTCCACTATCTCTGCGTAGCTCTCAGAAAGCTGCCCTTGGCTTAGGGGCCAAAAAAGAGGGTCAAGGATGGGATTGTTCCTCAGTGGACAGCAGCTCCTGACTGACAGTGGTCTCTAGATGCCATCAAAGCCTGGGCCACTCACTGGAGAAGAGGGCCATGTACCCAGCTCCCCTGCAAAGGATCTCCCCTCCCTGGGCTGAAGCCCTCCATTGTCCTGGGCACAGCCTTGCCTGAGGGTTCAAGGAGAAGCTCTCTCTGCGGAACTCCCCAGCCCGCAAAGTCCCCACATCAAATAGCACCGACAACACGGGGTCATCATTGGTCAGAAGGTCCTGGTCAAAGACTTGCAGCTGCACCACATTCTGGAAGAGAACAGAATAAGGGGCTGCAGGAAGGAGGAGTGGGATAGGAAGGTGAGTGGGGCCACAGCAGGGAGCAAGGGTTGGCAGGGACAGTGGGCAGGGCAGGGGCTGACACCTGGGCCCACCTTGAGCTGGCTGTGGATTCGAAAGCGAAAGCTCTGATTCCAGATGGGGTTTCTGCTGTTCTTGACCGTGCGTGTCTGGAGCCTGTGGCTACTGGCCGTGGGCAGCCACAGACTCACATAGCAGTCAGAGGGGGTCACTGCAGGAAGAAGGGTCAAGTGCCCGCTGACAGCTAAGAGCCTTACCCAGCCCAGCTCCCCAGAGTCCACGACCTTCCATTCTAGGCAGCCCTGGGAGGGCTGGAGAGCCACGGATTGGGGCTGAGTCAGGAGACAGGAGGAACAAGAAGCTGAGGCACAATCCCACATTCCACCCAGCACCTCCTCTCGGCACCCTCTCCAGGACCCCCTGCACGCCCAGCCCTACAGGAGTCTGTTCCCACCACCCCATCCCAGTCTGAATCCATTACAGAACCACTGTCCTCCCTGGGCCCAGCACTCACCTACGTCCTTTGAGGGCAGGTCAAAGGCCTGCAGGACACGAATGGTGAGCAGGCAGGTCCCAGGTACCTTTGCCTGCAGAGGAGGGAGAGGACAGGCTTGCTGCATGCTGCTGGACCCAGAGCCAACAAAGGCCAAAGAAGAGGCCAGAGTGACCCCTCCAGGACTAATCCTGAACCAATGGGATCAGCCCTTCCCAGCCACATGGCTACCCTCCACCCCATCAGAGCTCTAAAATGGAAAGGAGGCTTTGGTATCTCCTGATGATGCCTGCCAACACTTAGACAACACTCTGGGCCAGCGCTGGTCCAAGAGCTTTATGTACATTAACTTCTTTAATCACACAACCACCCTGTGTGTAGGGACTAATTATGACCAATCCCACAAGGAAACAGAAGCACAGAAAGACAGAAAGCCTACATAGTCACTTGCCTGGGGTCCAGAGCCAAGACTGCACCAGGCTGGCTCCACTCATGCTCTCCACCCCACACTTACCTGCTTCTAGCTTCTGGTATAGTGCCTGTTAGTCTTTCCACCCCGCCTTTCCAGCTAACTCTTGCTAAGCTGCCTTGCGGCAGTCTTAGGTGGCAGGAGACCCGTCATGGGGATGGGTAGGGAGTGGGGGGAGGGGGACGCAGCAGAATATAAGGCAGAGGGAGGGGAAGAGGCATGTCAGGACCCAGCCTGGCCATGGGCCCTTTGGTGGGGCTGCTCCCCTGGTTGAGCAGCTTAAATGGAGGCATGCTCCAATTAAGCAAACCCTGTTTGGAGAGCTAAGAGTGAGGAGTACAAACTTCAGCCTCTCCACCCCTGGCCAGGACTCAATTCTGGAAGTGCACTCTCTGTTTGACTAGGAACAGCAGTTAGCAGCTCAGACCACCCACAGGATTTCAAGTCCTCCAGGTGCTACCGGTCAGGCTAGAGGACCCCCAAGCGAATCCATCCAAACCCACAATCGTGAGTCTAGGGATATAAACCATGTCAAGTGTGCCAGGGAAGCCTGTACCAACTAGTCCTTCCTTCTGGCCTTCAGCTCTGCCTCAGAAGGGTCTTGATGGATGGAGTTGAAGGGTGGAGCTGGGGACGCTCATCTGTCAGTGTCGGCCCTGGGGCCCCGACCTTCCAAGCAACTGAGTCAAGAGCACCGGAACAGCCACTTCCTCTGGGGCCCCAGGATAGCAGCCCAAATCCGTGGCCCTGAGAACTCTGCCTGGAGCCCATCTCTAGGGCAAGAAATACTCAGGATGACACCTTCCCAAGACCCTGCCTGTTCCCTGGCTTCTGCTCACTGCCGTGGTCCAAGGCTGGCAAACTCCCCTCTCTACGTCCAGGGAAACCCACAGCTCCTCTTAAAAATCAGCATTAACCAGACCCCAGAGGGAACAAAGGTCAGCCTGGGGGCCCAGGGCCCGAGCAGGTCTTACCAGAGCCATGAGGCTGACAGTCCTCAAGAGCCACAAATGACAGGCAGCAAGCGCAGAACCAAGGACTGTCGGCTTTTTAACCTAGAGCCAACAATGTGCCAGTTGGCCCCAAGCTCCTCCCTTGTCCCTCCCAACCACCTCCTACTCCACCCAAGCCTCACACTCCCGCCAGGACAAGCCACCTGTTGAGGAAATGGGGAACCTTCAGCCTATGTGGAAACACTGACACCCCTGTGATGGGTGCCTACCACCCATGAAGACCCATTCCCTCTAGCTGTTGCCATCAGCATCTACCCCACCCAACCCTGCTCTTGAGCCTGGACCTAGAAGGGCCACTGACATCTGGAAAGCAGGGAGTGGGCCCAGAGCAGCACCAAGTGCATGAGCTTTGTCCCTTGTCACAGGGTCTTTCACAACCCCCAGTGGCTGTAGGACAGGAATGCCCGGTCCTGACTGAAGCGCTTGGCTAATCTAGGTGAGTGCCCCAGGTCCTTCACCACCTGGCAAGGGCAGATTGTTTGACGAAATAGCCCTCCCAAGCTGCGTGTCTGGCTGTCTCCACCCTCTGTGCTGGGTGATGAGGCCCCTGAGAGGCTCTCCCAGGAAGGGGGGAGGGTCTTCCAGGTCTGAGTTGGTGCAGGGAGGGAGTCTGAGTATGAAGACCCTACGGCGGGGATGGGCAGGGATTTCTGTCTTGTCCTATCAATGCTTGTTGTGGAAGAAACAGGGGTGACACTTGGCACCAGACCCCACCAGCTTCCCTGGAGGTGGAGGAGAGCAAACAAGTCCAGAGCAAAACCAGGCACAGCTTCAGAGGCCGAGACAGGGAGATCCACACCTGAGTTAAAACGAGACCCCCTTGCTCTGAGAGCGGCTGCGATGGCTGTCTGGGGTGTTGGCAGCAGAGTCCCAGGCCTGATCCCAGGCCTCACCCCCAGTCAGGGTCACCCTGAAATGTTTACCTGAATCTTCCAGCCCTCACCAGACCACAGAAGAGGGAGTCTCAGCACACATGAATCAAAGCCACCTTTTATTGAACACTTCCTCTGTGCCAGCCCCTTAGGGTCCTTAAAGATCTCTCTCCAAGCCTCACAACACCCTACAGGATAGGACCCATCATTTTCTCTATTTTACAGACAGGACACCAATGCTTCAAGGTGAACTTGCCCACGGTGCTGATAAGAGGCTGCACCGAAGCCCCACTCCTCCTCCAGTACAGGCAGCAGCCTCACCTGTGTGGTAACTTCCTGGAAGCCCAACACAGACCTGCCTGACACCTTCTGGACCTCCAGATCACCGCCCCAAATCCTCCAAAGCTGATCCCAAGCTGGGCCAGCGGCCAGCAGACTCTGACTCCAGTTGGCCTCTGGAAATGACCTGGCCTGGGAGGGACACGATCTTTTCCACCAATTATTGTTGGCATCGTTCACCAGGGTTCCATCAGTCGAGGCCCGAGGCCTTAGTGAGGGAGTCAAGCAGCTGGAAGTAACTATACTTAAGGTCATACTCCATGTCATACCAGTAGTTCACTGTGGGGAGAATGGACACCTGATCATGAAGGTCCCCCTCCAAACCCACTGCCTCCCAAACCCCTCCCCCAGCTACCCTACTGGGCAGCTCCTCACCAGCAATGCAGCCATGGGACTGCTGGACGTGGTGGAACCACAGGGCCGGCAGGTAGAGTATCTCACCAGCCTGCACCGTGCAGCAAAGGGCCCGGGCCTGACTATAACTGGGGTACTGGGCCAGATCTGGAGCCAATGGGTCCAATGGGATCCAGGGTACCTGGGGATACAGTGGATGCCAGGGAGCAGGCCCAAAGCCTCCGGCCCTCCAGCTCTGTCCCTTCCAAAGGTAAATGCCATAAGCTCTGCCCTGTTCAGCACTGGGAAGGCCGACTTAGGGATTTTTCAGAATAAGGTGCTACCTCCCCAGCTCTTTTGTGCCTGCTCCCTCAGAGACCAGGTTCCTACCCTTCTCCCTCCCCAGGGCCCACAAACAAGGCAGATACCTTCTCCATGGCCTCTTCATCCACCATCTTAAAGGAGCCCTCTTCAGTGAGCTGATAGGTTGCTGGTGTGTACAGCTCTAAAACCAGGAGAAAGGTACAGGGACACTCAAACGGCCTGCAGCTTGCCAGTTCCTCCCCCTTGTTCCCTGAGTGCAGTGGAAACACTATGCCCACACCTCTGGCCTGGCACACCAGTTTGCCCAGGGCCCTTGCTGCCCTCCCTCTACCTTGGGCCACCTGCTTCCCAGCCCCTGAGGACTGAGTCCCTACCATAGGGGATGAATGGCCGGTCACTGGGTGGATGTAGCAGGAAGTGTTTCTCTCCAGAGACCACACAGTAGAGGTTCTCATAGTGGTCCTTATGTACTGCCAATACAAAGAGGGCCCAGTGGGCAAGGTTACAAGGGGCAGGGCACAGGAGGGGACAAATGACCATAAAACAGGTATGACAGGTAGTATAACAGAAGAGCACACAAAGTCAAAGCAGGATCAAGGGGATGCCAAGGAGTCAGGCAGGCAGGATTCGAGCATTTCAAACCTCTGTCGACCAGGGACTTGACACTCGCCAGGTCCCAGGCTCATCTCTACCAAGGGGGGAATCCAAGCAAACAGGGTTCTCCTGAGTTCACCCCCTGACCTAGCTGGCCTTTAGGAAAGCTTTCTGGAGACCTAGAAGAAAGAGTCCCCTCCACACCCCAGTGCCACAGGGACCTTCCCCAATCTGAGCTATCAGAAGGCGCTCTGTTATGCCCGAACCCCAGAATAAATCTTAGAGAACTTCTGTCCAGACCCAACCTTCCACTCTTGGCCTCCTCACCCCTCCTTCCCCACCTCTGTATTCCCCTGACACCTACAGGATGTCACTGCCGCTGCATCCCCCAGCCAGAAGTTTACAGCATCAGGCATCTTTCCTGCAGGTCAGAGGTAAGAGGTCAAGTCAGGAGGGGCCTTACTCCAAGGCCAGGCCAGGAATAACCACCATACTGTGATGCTGGACCAGAACCTGGGGGGAACGAGGGAGCTCGCAGGGAGAGAACAGGGAAAAGGGGTAGAGGAGGGCCAGTTCCAGATGGAGTCTCCTGCCCTGTGGCAGAAAGAAGGGTGACAATGTCCAGTAGTTCAATACACAGTTGTGGCCTGGAGGTGCACCGGTGTGGCTCAGTTAGGTGTCCAACTCTTGGTTTCAGCTTAGACCAAGATCTTAAGAGTTTCATGAGCTCAAGCCCCATGTGAGCCTCTGTGCTGGCTGTGGATTCTGCTTGGGATTCTCCCTCTCTCCCACTCTCTCTCTGCCCCTCCCCCACTCACACTGTATCTCTCTCTCTCAAAACAAATACATAAGTTTAAAAAAAACAAAAACAAAAAGTTGTGGCCTGGAGACTTGAGTGTTTAGTAAACGGCACTTGACCCTGAGGGGCCAAGAGTGTGGGCCAAGTCATCACCAAAGGGAGAAGCAGCAAGCAGGGCTGACTCCTGCTTGTCCTTCCCATTTCTTCCCTGCCCAATCCCTGCCTCCACTCACCCAGTGCCTCAGAGGCCCAGGGCACATGGGACTCTAGATCAGGCAGCAGCTGGGGCAGCTCGGTGGGCAGGTTGGAGCACTGCTTCTGCACGTAGAGGACTCCTGGGTGCTGGGTCTGGCCCTCTAGCACATCCAGCACGTAGCTCAGGGGTAGGCGGCGCTCAGCAGGCATCATAAAGCGGTCCCCTCGTACAGCATCCGCGTAACCATCAGGGGTCACAGCCACGCTCACCTCTATGGAGCCCACTGTGGCTCTGGAGGAAAGGACTTTCAGCCCATGTTCAAATAACACAAAGTATCACCCAACACCTCCCCGCCCCAGGGGAGCCCCCACCTGAGATATGGGAAGGACCACTTCTGCAGGGCTGGCCAGTGATGCAGGGCATTGCGGATGATGCAGGGCCTATTGGGGCAGACCCAGTCCCGGTAGAAGTGGAGTGGAGTGGGAGGCTCATCCAGGTAAGGAACAGCAAGAGGCACACTGAGCTCTGAGAGAAAGACAGGAGAGGGGGATGAACCCAACTGCACCCAGCTGCTGCCCCAAAGCCTGTGTAAAAGATGTCCTCCCTAGGCAGGACACACTGCTATCACTGGATAATGTCCATTGATGACCAAGGGACTCTGGACAACCAGGAATTGAAAACTGAGGAGAGATATTTAAGGAAGAAAGCATGAAGCACCCACAAACACACCAGGATGGACTGTAAGAGTCCACAGGGCCAGGGAATGCTGCTCAGCCCATAACCCACACCTACCATGGGACCACGTCCAGCCCTAAACAGTGAACCCTCGGCTTTCCCACGGTGCACTGCCCAACATCATGGCATCCATGAAGAAAGGCAGCTGTGTAGGCAGTACAGGCAGCTCCAGGATGAGTGGAGCTGAGGCCCCAGGGTCACAGGCTGGTGTGGGTGAGTCAGGCTCTGGAAAGCACCCTCTGACAGTGATATTTACTGAACATCTAGAATGTACTCAGTACTTGATTTGGCCAATGAGGAGGCAGGTATCAAGGGATGATCCTATTGTCATCTCAAGAAGATTAGAACCTAACTGGGGAGACAGGCTGCTACAGGAAACCATAGGAGGAAAAGTAAGAGCTGAACTGTGTTTTTGATCTTCCTGAACAGCATCACCATCCTCAGACACCCAGGGCTACCGTGTGCATCTATGGTTGCGCAATATGCCACCTGCACAGATGTCTATAGTGGCCCTGTGTCACTTCTCACAAATCTATTCTTTTTGGCTCTTCTCTCTCACTTCTGTCCACCCCTATGGATTGTCTCGAAGTCCTATTGATTCTACCAATCAACCCCTCCTTCTTTCCTCTGCTGGTATCCGTATTCAAATAACCTCCTTTGGGCCCTCAAACGTCACTTCAATTAGCTTCCTTCGTTGGCCACCCTTTTTTTTTTTTGTTTATTTATTTATTTTGCTGGCCACCCTTTAAAAATGTAACCTGTCCCAAACAATCCTACACCCCTTCCCTTTTTTTCCCTTCTGTCACTCATCACCACCTAACATACTATATATTTCACTTATCCAAATTGCTTATTAATCTCTCTTGGTAGAATAGAATGTAAGCTCCATGAGGGTAAGGGTGCAAGTCTTGTTCATTGGTATACCCTCAGGACCTAGAATAATCCCTAACACGCAGCGAGTGCTCAGGAAGTACTGGCTTAATGGTTGAAAGTCTCCAACATCTCCTGGATGTCTGGTTGCTGCAGTGAACTGACTGGTTTCCTTGGGGGTTAATTCCACTCCCTCTCAAAGCATCCCTCACCCTGGTCCCTGTCATCTTCTTAAAATACAATCTCATCTTGTCATATCCCTAGTTTAAAAAAATATCCTTTGATGGCTTACCACTACTCCTTACAAATTATATAATGTGTCTTGGCATGCATTCAAGGTGATACATGATCAGGCCCAACCTACTTTTCCAGTCTGGTTTCCTCCTGTCTGGTGCCTGCCCCTTACCACACTCTCTACTCGGGTGGTGCCAAGCTTTGTTCCTACTGCTCCCTCAGACTGGGATGCCTTTCTCCTGGCTTCTATAAAGGGTACACAGGGCTTTGCTTTGTTCATTTCATCCTTGAGATCTGGCCTGAAGGTCTTGGCCCCAGTGGGCAGCCGCTGCACTAGTTTTCACCTCTGAGGTCTCCATGCCAGTCATCTTTGCTTTGCCTTCAGTAGAAAAGTAAATGTAGGTCTTTAGCTCAAAAACTGGAACTGAGTGGGAAGACCCTGGTGGTCCCAAGAAAACAGAAAAAGAGCTGGCACCCCTACTTGCTTCACTGGCTAGAAAGGTAAGATGGAACTTACCAAGCAGATAAGGGAGAGGAAACTGGCAAAGGGCTTTCCCAGTCCTGCCAGCCCATTAAAGCAGTCATCTTTGGGGAGCGATTTGGGGTTCAGTAAATCCTATTATTCTCACTGGAATCCTTTCCCCCCACACTGGAATTCTTAAAATGCATGGAAACTGCTTTTTTTCACCTTTTGTATTTTCTGCCATTATTGCATGTTTACTACCTCACCAATTAAAAGACTTCCTGTAGATAAAGATGACTGCTCCCTTCTGAGGCTCTGCTGTGAGAGAATTTCAAAAGGGATTCAAACAATTTCTTTGGCCCAAGAATTTGGCCCAATTCTTCTGCTAGAAATTTAACCAACAAAAATATTCACACCTGTGCAGAATGACTGGCACACTGGCTTTTTCATTATTCCATGAACACACCAGGCACACCCCTATCTCAGGGCATTTGCCCCAGTGCCTTCTACCTGCAATGCTCTTCTCTCAGATGTCTGCGCAGCTCACTCCCTTCCCCTCCTTTCTACATGCCTGTGCTTGAATGTCCCTTTATCAAGGCAGCCTACCTACCCTGACCATCTTATTTCAACCTATAACCTCCCCTTAATCCCTGGCCTGAAACCTTTTATTCTGCTTTACTTTTTTCCCCCCCACAACACTTATCTTCTAATCCATTCCTTCTCCTGTATAATTTACTCATTACTCATTTAGTGTGACTAGCGTTAATGATCTGTCTCCTCACTTGGAATGTAAGGTATGGGAGGGCAGAAATTTGTTTTACTCACTAATGTATCCTAAACACACTGACCAGAGCCCCACATTGAGACGCTTAGTATTGAGGTGCTCCTAGTGTTTACTGAAGCATTAGTGAAAAGACAGAAGGAAAATGACCTAAATGCCTATCAATAATAGGCTGATTCAGTAAATTACCACAAGAACACAGTGTGAAAAAAAACTGAGGGGGCTCCTGGGTTGCTGAGTCGGTTGGGTGGTTCCCAGTTCGGCCCAGTCCTGATCTCAGAGTCTGTGAGTTCCAGCCCCGAGTCGGGCTCTGTACTGACACCTCAGAGCCTGGAGCCTGCTTCGGATTTCGGATTCTGTGTCTCCCTCTCTCGCTGCCCCTCCCCTGCTCACGCTGTCTCTGTCTCTCTCAAAAATAAACATAAAAAAAAAATTTGAGGAAGAGGGATATGGAACGGTCTTCAAGATACATAATAGTGCAGAAAAGTGTTTAGCAGGCTAACCTTCGTATACAGGATATATATAGTACCCCCCCCCACCCCGCCCCGCGCGCGCGTGTGTGTGTAAACTATTTCTGAAACGATGGAAACTGGGGCCTGGAATGAAAGGAATGCTTACTTCATATTATAAATCCGTTGTTTTTAAACCATGTGCCCCTGTTGCTAATTAACGGTAAAACAGAAAAAAACGGGAGAGAGGAAAGGAGAGAGAAAAATAAAAACCAAGCAGCGGAAGAGCCAGGGATTACTTGGACACCTGCCTCCAATTCTTCCAAAGCTCTGCACCACCTTGGGGAAGTTTGTTCCTGAATAAGTGTTCCAGCTGGGGTTTAGAATGGGAGCACCTGACCACCTTAAGACTTCACAACAGGAAAGGCTGGGAAGAGCAACAAGAGTGCCCCATTATTCGGGGGCGGGTTGACTGTGGGAAGTAGACCTGGGTGAAGACTGGCCCGAACCTTGGGAGTAAAGTCAAGGCACACCAGGAAGCCACGAGGACACCAGGACAGGGGAGCTGAGGCCGCAGCACTGGGGTAGGGGCGAGGTTGGGGCAGAAGAGTGATCCGAGTGGGGCCAGCAACGAGTCAGGTTCACGCGCTTCTGCGCTCCTTGAAGACACGAACGGGGGTGGGGAACAGTAGTGTCTCCGGCCCAGAAGAACGAGGGCGCACCCGACTCGGGACTCTGGTTTCCCGCATGCCCAAGGCCCCGCCCACGTCCTGAGGCTGCCCCGCGGTCAACGCAAGGCAGCCAGAGCCTCCGCGCCAACCCACTCACCTCTGGCGGCAGCTGGGAATTCTCGTAACTCCCTCCGCACGGCGTCCAAAGCCGCCTCCGCCATGACGCCGCCGCCGCTCCGCAGCCACGCGCTCTTCCCTTAAGACCCCGCCCTGCCCCCGCCGGGCCCCGCCCCCTCCGCTGAGTCTCGCGGGCTCGGAGCGTCGTCCCCCCCACCCCTACGCCCCCAACGCACCCGGATTCTGCTAAGCAAGCAGCGGGTGAGGAGCTGTGCTGTCTCCAGCCTGCCCCACTCGCTGGCATCCCAGATTTAACAAATGATTGTTTATTGATGAGTTCATACATCAATACAAACGGACGAGTTAAAAATGGCCCCTGCCCCGTGAGACCTCGGGAGGAGGGAAGCGCCATGGCCTGGACAAAGTATAAAAGTTATAAATAAGGAGGTTTTCAAAACTGGGTCAGGGTAAATCTAGTCAGGGTTGGGGGGGCAGTTGCCGATGGCCTCAGACATGCAGAAGGGACGGGTGCCGGCGGCCATAAGACCCCCTCTCCCACCTAAGCACTCGGCTGAGGTAGAGAAAGGGCGGCCACCTTCTCACAAACCTTAGCGGTAGTGTAGCTCCCTCCTCTGAGGGGCTGGCTGGCTGAGGATTTCAGAAGAACCCAGACCAGAGGGCCAGGCTTGAGCCCTCTTGGGGCTGGGCTGTGGCTGTTGTGCCGGTTGGGGGAGTGGTAGTAGACTTCTAACCCTCACAAGGGCAGCTGCAGCCCTGCAGGGTCCACCCTCAGCTGCAGGAGTTCCTGGGGCCAGGGTTTCTTTGCAGTTTGGCCATGCAGGTGGTAGTAGTACAGAAGAGTGGGGGTGAACTAGGTTTCATCTGTTCTGGTGCACCTGGCTGATGCAAACAAGAGCTGGGCATTGTACAGAAACCAACTTCTTTCTAAGTTACTACCTATAGAACCAGCAGGGCCCCAAGGGCCTGTCCGTGGGAGACTAGGTTGCTGCGGCCTGGGGCTTCAGGAAAGCTACACTGACTTACCTGAGGCAGAGGGAAGCAGTAGGGCCCAGAGACACGTGTTCTTCATTCCAACTCAACAACTGCTTTACTACTTGGTCCTACTCTACCTGCCCACTCTACCCTATCTCCTTCCCCTCATCCCTAACAACTGCCCTTTAATCTACCCCCTTCCCTCTACTACTTACCTGTCCCATCTACCACCTTTCCAGTGTGTCTCTTGGCCCTTTCTGCAGCCCCATGTGCCTCCCCCTCCCCTCAAGTTCCAGTATCCAGAGCATCTTGGGTGCCCAGCACTGCCTTTGAGGAGGCTCCTTCCACCCAAACTAGGAACCTACAAACCATCTCACATCAGCTAGGTTGTGGACACCAAGAATCCAGAATTCAGGTTACTACATTCCAGTCCTTTTCATGCTCCTTGACAGTTCCACATGAGCCAGGGTGGTGAAGTAGGAGTAGTACATGAAGGGTAACCAGCCACACATCAACCAGCCAGGTACTCTAGCGATGAATACTCACTAAACATGTGTGTGTGTGTGTGTGTGTGTGTGTGTGTGTAGACTTTTGTGGCCAAGGTCCGAAGAAGGTGGGCTGGTGCCCTGTAAACCATGAGGGAAGTTCTAACACAGGCTTCTGACTGGGCATCACTCAGGATGCAAGGAGAAGGTGGCCTCTGGGTCTAGCAGCCTACTGGGGACCAGGGTTGGGAGGATAGGGAAGACCAAGGGGTTAAGAGGAGGAAGCCAGGGCTTTATGTTTGCCCAGCAGAGGGCTTTACTGTCCCGCAGCAACATCCCACAGCTGTCTCCACGAGTTCTGGCCAGGAAAGAAAGGGGGCACAGGGATAGAGATAATGCTAGGGCTCTCTTAGAGGGAGAGTGGGAGTGGAATGTAGGGGCTCAGGCCTTGATACCAACTCAAGCCTCCTGATGGCTTGGGAATGCCCTGGAGGACTTAGAGGGCTCTGCCTTACACAACTGCCAGGAAGTGAGGAAAACATAACCCCCTGCTCTGGCAGCCAGGGGAGTGCAGCTGGTGTGGGAGGGGAAGTGGAGGTAGAGGTGAAGCTCTGCTGTTGGCTGAACGGCACTGAATGCCACGTGGCCTCTCACTTCCCCCCCACCAAATACCCTGTGTGTGCTCCACCCCAGGGAGCTGATCCCTGCAGTAATTTCAAATGGCTTCTAAGAAGAGAGGGCCTGCCCTTCCCAATTTCCCCCCAGATAGGGCAGGCTGCCCTCCTACTCCTCACAGCACCAAGATGACAAGGATCCAAGACCTACCCTGCATGAGCCACTGAAGGGGCTGTGGAGGCAGGGGTTCTCAAAGTGAGGCGACAGTCAGGGAAATAAATTAATAAATACAGGGGTCCCATGAGGAGTAGCTGGGAAAACTGCTTCCCCTCTGAGCACTGATCCCTGCGATCCACTCCAAGCATCCCCATAGGTTTTGGAGAGTGGAGCAGGGGCTACAGTTCGGAATAAGGGAAGCATTCACTTGGAATAGAATTCTGGAGCTAGAGTCTACGTTCCATGCGCTGCTCCACAGCCCGAAGCAGCAGCTCTGAGTATTGCTCTAGCAGGGCCTGTGTTTGCTCAGCTCCCACAGTCCCCGGGCTCCCACCCGGGCTGCACAGCACGGCACCGGCCAGGGCCTCTAGCTCCTGCCTCACTGAAGAGAAGGTGTTTCTGAGGAGCTGGGTGATGCGACTTTGCTCCGCTGAGGGTGTCTTGCAGCCAGCCACCTGCAGGAGGACCCAGGAAGTAAGTTGGAGGAACAGTTGAGGAACATCCTGTCAATGGATGTATAAAGGGGAGGGGCCCCATCTGGGTCTAGCCTGCCTCCAAAGAAGGCCCTGCTGGACTGCCCCCTATGTCTAAGGTGGCCAAACAGTTTTTAATAGGACAAGGGGCACTATTAATAATTATACAGGGACAAGAGGCATAAATTGAGATGGTCCTGAGCAAACTAGGCCATATGGTCTCTCCACCCCCACCCCTCCAGTCTGAGGAAGCCTCCAGCTCTTAGCTAGAGAGGACCTACTGGTCCTCGGTTCAAGAGCCCTGGCCTAATGGCCTCTACCTCCCTCACCCACTCTGCCCGGGATGTTCTTGATTGTTCCACCCATCCATCAGTGGAAGAGCCTTAGCATGGTTGCTCAGGATACAGAGCTAGCACTCTGCCTTCCCCACGGTAGGTGCCCAACACATACCAAGTGGTAGAGCCGCACAGCCTGGCGCACATTGCCCTGGAGCTCTGCCACGAGTTGTTCACACTGCTCCAGGCTCACTGCTGGTTCTGAGAGGGACAGATACAACTCAGTAAGGCCCAGCAAAGCTGCCCTTGCAGGCCTCCCACCCAGAGGCCACTGAGCAGGAGAGGCCTCCCCGCAGGATTACAGCCCCTCCACTTGCCCGCTGTCCTTTCTTCTTGCCTCCTTCCTCCCCAACGACCCCCCTGTCCTGATACCACACAGAAAATGAGGGCCCTGAGGGGAGTGCCAACCCCATCCCCAGAGGCCAGAGGCACTGAAGGGGCAAATGGGTCACAAGGAGATCATGAAGATTGGCAGAAGTGTCTCACCATCAAGGGTGTGACTTACGAACTGAGACAGGGGCAGACAGGACGAAAACACCAGAGGCTGGATGCATAGAAATGGGATGGAGCCAGAAAGCAGACAGCAGAGATGGAACAAAGAGGATGAAGCAGGAAATGAGAGCTGGGGAGCTGTGCACACCTGAGTCCTGGCTCAGGACTGCCCTTGGCCTGGTGCATTCCGTGGGGCTGGGAATCTTCTCAGGGGTTGGGGACTGCAAGTTTTCGGGGTCTCGGAAGAGGGGGCTGACCGGCAGTTGCTGGCCACAGGGGCTGTTGGGCCCAGGCTGAGCCTGGCACTCTGTCCTAGGCTTGGGAGGGGCACCCTCCCCCAAACAGGCCCGCCTCTCAGATGTACTATGAGCCTTTCCCAGGCCCGCTGGGGATCCAGGCCGGTCCGCCTCACCAGGGGCTCGTCCCCTGGTAACAGGTGAGAATGTGGCCAAAGTAGGACGGTCAGGCAGTGGCTTTGGGATGTCCAGGACCAGGTGAGCCCGGCTGGGCAGGGCTAGCTTGCTGAGCGGTGAGACTCGAATGGGAGCAGGAGCTTGAGGTTCAGCTGCCAGCCCCAAGTTCTCCCCAACAGAGATGCTACGGGACATCTTGGCCATGGAACTGGTGGTGGGGTTCTGGTAGGAGTGAGGCTGAGAAAGACGGCCATCAGCCTGTGGCAGGGACTGCAGGCCCTCCTGGGCCTCCATCCCCTGTAAGAGCAATGGGCCTGGTGGAGGGGCCTCATCTGTAGAGAAGACAGAGATATGCAGGTCAGGTGGTGAGGGAAGACATCCCACATGCAAAGACTCAGCTCCCTAGGAGTTGCTGTGCTCCCCACATACCCACTAAGGGACAGCCAGTGGCAAGTACAGTGACACATCAGGACTAAATCAGGCCCTCCTTTCTCTAGCATGCTCATGCGCTCCACACTCCCTGCACCCTCGAGTTGAGCCTACCAGGCTCCTCACCTTGTGGCACCAGACTCTGCACAGACTGGGCTTTCTGGAGTCCACCTAAGGGGCTGGCCGCAGCCACTCTCTTGGGGGACCAGCTGCTATCCAGATTGAGTCGGCGTCGAGGCAAAAGCACAGGAACCGTTTGCTGGGGGCCACCATTTCCAGAGGAGGGCTCTGCCTCTGGAGGTGCTCCCGGAGGACTGGCACCACTGCCTCTCAGCTGCTCACCCGAAGCCTGCAGCATTTGGACTGGTCTCGATGTCAGCGCCAGGCTTGAGGAAGATGGAGACAGCTTCCTACAGGGAGGAAATGTGGAAGAAGGCCAGAGGAGGCTTAGGAGTCCTCTTTGCCAACACGAGGAGAAGCACTGGGAGAGAAGGGCTGGAACAAAGCCAGCAGGCCAGTTGTCCCAAAACTTGGGAGTGCAGAATACTGTTGAGCATGGGAAGACAGCAGCCTTGGAGAGAGGAGGGTGGCATGCTGCCCCAGGGCCAGGACTGGCCCTCTGGAGAGGGCTGGGAGGTCAAGTGAGCCAGAGCTCCTTATAGGAGACTGAGAGCTGCTGTAGGGAGAGGTACCTGAGTGGGGGGGTCTGCACTTGCAACAGGAATCGTGAAGATATGCTCCGAGACTCTGTCCTCTCTGGTACCCGGACTGGGCCCCCTGCCAAGGTGACAGAAATCAGGAAGTGAAGCAAGCCCTTGTCCCAGATTCTGCCTCCCCTAGAAGGTAACCCAGGGCGTGGGCATGGCCTGCCCTTGTTCCCTCCCTCTCATCCAGGCAAGGAGGGAAGGAGGGAAGACTACACTGACCACATACTGGCCCTCTGACCACACCTGGAGCGGACCCATTGGCCAGAGTCTCAAAGTGCTGTTTTAGAAACTGCTCCTGGTCTGGGGTATGGGGACTGCCTTCCTGCAGCCCATAGGAGCCAATGCCTCCCTCTTCTTCCTCCTCTTCATCATCACCCTCGGCTGGCTCTTCAAGGTCTGAGGAAATGCCATCCACACTCAGGGGCTCCGTGCTCTCAGAGTCTGGATGTGGGGAGGGGAGAGAAGCATCATGCTGCACCAACCCGTCGCCAGAGCCTCCACTCCCCCACCTCAGTCCACTGACCTCCCTCAAGCTGCAGCCTCACCTTCATTGGGGTGCTCAGGGCTGGAAAGGCGGCTGCTACTATAATCCACAGAGCAGGCACTGTCAGGGCTGTGCTTCTCAGAGCCCCTGCTGCCTGGATACACTCTTCCCAGAGTCCCTCGGGCTGGAGCTTGCACCTGGAACTCACTTTCAGGAGGGCCAGCAGGGGAAAGAAGAGGCAGTTAGTAGGGGTGGGCAGTGCCACCAGACATCTGGCTTCCTTCTCCCTGACAAGTGAGTGGGACTGGGGATGAGGCAGGGGCAAAGCAAGTAACCTGGGCCAGCCCTCCCGTATAAAGAACACACAGAAGGAGAAGACTGCAGAGCCCCTGAGGTCTGATGAGAGAAGGACCCTTGCCTGGTATCCAGGGTGGGGCTGTCACTCGGCTCCGGGTAGACAATACCATCTTCGATGGGTGCAGGCTCCAGATCTTGCGCAAAGACCCCTTCCTCTTGGGACAACAATCGAATAATGTGGGGGCAGGAACAGGGTTGGGAAGCCTGAGGCCGAGGGGGCTTTTCATTCTGGGAACACACAAAGGGACATTACTGAAGATACCTACGTGAGAAAGGGTCTGAGAAAAGAGGTGGGGGTGGGCAAGGATTTGGTGTGTTATCAGTTCTGGGGGAAGCTGAATAGTCCAACTCTGAGGACAACTCCAGCTACTGTTCTTGAGCTTCTGGAATAACTACATTCTGTCACACTCCAGGCTGTCAACCTTCAGCCACCACTTAATATCATGAGCCCTTGAAGAGACCTGGCCCAGGGCAACGGGTGCTACCCCAATCACCATATCACCCAGCCTAGCCAGCCTGAACCTTTGCAGTCCAGGCTACCCATGTGCCACAGGAGCAGAGCAAGCAGAGCTGGCCCAGTGCTCAGGTCCCAGCTGTTAGCATAAGGCTGCCTAAGGCTGCTTGGAGATCTCGAGGTTGCTGGGAGAAAGCCGGCTCACCTGGCTAGCATGTGAGGTCTCAGGGACCTGCTGACCATGTTTCCCAGGGCAAGAGGGGGTCATGGCCAACAAGTCTTGGCTAGGGCCTCGAGGGCTTGGGGCCAGTGTTTCCAGCTGCCGTAGGTCCAGCATGGAGCGGACACTCAACTCCACGCCTGGCTGAGCCCAGCGGCTTCTCCTTCTGGGTCCTTGGTTGGCCACAGGAGCTGGAGCCAAGAATTCCACTGTCTCCTCCTCCTGGTGTGGGGCAGGGGTGGGGGAGGGTAACAACCACCATACAATAATATCAGCAAACACTCATATATCACTCATTGTGTGCCGGGCATTTTATTTACATGTGTTCGCTCACTTAATCTCCACAACCGCCTTGTGAAGTCAGTAGTATCATTCCCCCCATTTTTACAGATGGGAAATCTGAAACACAGGGGGCTTAAGTAACCTGTCTAGTCCCACAGACAGTAAGTGGCCTGCCTACAGGTTACAGCTCAGGTAGTCTGGCTCCAGAGTTCATGTTCTTAGCTTCATTCTACTACCTGTCTTAGACATTCTAGTCTCAGCCTTCACCTGGTGTCATGGACACCTTGGAGCTGGGAATCTCTACAAAGTCCCTTACTCTGAAGACAGCCCCAAGTCCATTCATAGCTCCAAGGACAAACCAATAGTCCATCCTTGAGCCCCTGGCCTGGTCAGAAGCACCAGAGGCACCACGCCACTATTACTGCATGGAGCTGGTGCTAACAATGGAGGCGCTGCCCCTTGATGTCTTGATGTGGCCCAAGAGAGGGCTGGGCTGCTTTGGGGCTTGCTCAGAAAGCCTGTACCTCCTTCTGGCTGCCCTGATGTAGCTGCCCAGTCCTAGCATGGCCCTTTCCCTCCAGATAACTGCTCTGGAAGTTCTGAGCTAACCTCCTAACCTGGGGTCTTTAAAATTAGTTTCTCCAGATTTCTATTATTTGGACATTTGATTTTCTTAAACTTTAGTTTTTTGGGTTTTTTTTTTTTAACATTTATTTATTTTTGAGAGGATGGGATGGCAGAGAGAAGGAGAGATAAAGGATCTGAAGCAGGCTCCATGCTGACAGCAGAGAGCCCAACACAGGGCTCAAACCCACAAACCATGAGATCATGACCTGTGCTGAAATCAGTAGTCAAATGTTTAACCAACTGAGCCACCCAGGAGCCCCTCTTGAAGTTCAGTTCTAACCGTCTGGCTTAGACACTCCTTTTCTACTCCCCACCTCAACTTGTTCTTTGTTCCTGTTTACTCCCAGGCCCCCAGGCAGCTAAACAAGTGGGACACTACTAGTGGCAACTAATCCTTGCAGGCCACCCCATCGGGCCTGGAAGAAGGAGATCCCTGGGCTTCATTATCCATAACCTGGGACCAGGTGAGCTGCTCAGACCCTCCCACAAGGCCCTTTCTTGGACACAAGGGATACAGCATGTGGGCAGGCCCAGAGAGCCCTGCTTTCACCTTCCTCTCCCTCTTGTAACCTTGGAAGGGCATTATGATGATGGGGACTTACCCGACTCATCTCCCAGTGGGACAGGCTTCGGGGCAGGACTGGGCCAGGCACTGAGGCTAGACAGAGACAGACAGTCAAAGAGAGTATCTCCTGCCCACCCACCCGGAGCCCTGGCCCCCCATCAGCCCATACCCTGTGTGGCCACAGTGAGGCTCTGGTTTCCTCAGCTCACTGTACTCTCACCCCCATTGTATCAGAAAGGACATACCTGGCCACTGTGGCAACTGGTGCCTCTCTGGCCCTACATGAGACTTTCACACACCTTGTTCTTTCTTGGCACCCTTGGCAAGGATAGGCAGAGCTGGAAGTTCTTCTTCTTCAGTGCCTTCGTCTTCTCCCTCCTTGTCACTATCTGATGACAGAGCTGGTCCAGGAGACAGCATCGATGGGGCCTCGTGCCTAAGTCCAAGACAAGGAAGGTAGAGGAAGGTAGTCCAAGACTCAATGCAGGTAGAGGCCATCCTATGGGTCTTCAGGTAAGAAACGGGTGTTGGGGGGTACAAGAGTTGGGCGGTAGAGGTGAATGTTAAGTCCAAAGCAGAAAGGAGGAACACAGAGATCACAGTGAGCAGTCTGGAGGCCCACCCACCACTCGCCCGTATCTATACTCTGTCCTCACCGGCTGGGACCTGCAGCCCTTTGGGGAGAAGACGGTCCTTGCTGCTTGACCCCTCGCTGACGCTGGCGCAGCTCGGCCAGACGCTGCCTCATACTGATGGTCATCTCAGAGCTCAGGCGCCATACAAATATACAGCTGGATAGAGCCACAGAGTTGGGTGAAGGAGGGGTAGGGTAGGGCCTGATATAGGTAGCACACCACTAGTTCTCCTCTTCATGGGCTGGCAAGAAGACCAGATCCACCCTCTAGCACCACACCAGCCCAGCCAAGAAATACCCCTGCTCAGCCCTACTTCCCAGAGACATCACTGATGTGTAAAGGGGGGAGGGAGCTGGGCATTATGTGTGGCACAGAGGAAAAATCTGTGTCTCAGGGAAGCTGGCTTCTGCTCACCTGTCCCCTGACACAGAGATGAGATGTTTGCAGTCATTACTAAACTTCATGCCAGTGACAATCTCTGTGAGGAACAAAGAACACGACCTGTGAGCCACCCTTAAGTCCCCACCAAGCTTCTGTCCCAACAGTGGAGGTCAACGGTTGGTTGGAGGGATAGGGCAGGCAGCTCTGCTAGGTCCCAAGAAACTAAAGGAAGAAAGAGTAAAGTTCCACCAGTAGATTATTGGGGCAACACTTACCTGAGTGGCCAAACATGGTGGCCACACACTCGCCTGAGGAGAAGTCAAAAATGGAGAGGTTCTTGTCAGAACAACTGGTGGCGATATAGATCCCTGAGGGGTCTGTCTGCACCTGAGGAGTGGGACACAGCTGGCAGAGGACAAGGAAAGCACCAGTCCCTTTCCACCTAGTACCCCTGTCTTCCCTTTCTCTGGTCCAGTGGCCATCCTCCTGGGCCCTTACCTTAATGAGAGTGCCGTCCTCACCCTGTGACCCTTTAAAAAGCTTCTTCTGCTTCCCACTGCTGATGTTAAAGATCCTGTAAAGAAACACTTTTGTTCACATGAGGAAGAGTCCATAATCAAGCACACCTGGATGACAGAGACCCCAGAATTCATTCCCAACCCTGTTCTCTCTGGGAGCCACTCCCCAACACCAAAGAGACTATCACCTCTTGGGTAGGGCCAAGTGCTCCTTCTACAGGCTCAAGTACAAAGTCCTAGACAAAAAGAAGTGAGGAGAGAGCTGCCTAGAGCTGACCCCCTTGGGCACGAAGGAAGGTGGTTAGATGGTTTGAGAAGGGGATACCCACCGAATATTTCGGTCCTGGCAGCCGATGGCCGTGTACTTCCAGCTGGGCTCCACATCCATGTCATAGAGGGTCGTCTTCCGTACCACATGGTGCGTCCGTGTAAACTGTACTCCATCTCCAGACTGAAGGGGTAGAGCATGTGGGCTCACCAGGCCCAGAGAGCCCTGCTTTCGCCTCCCTTCACCTCTTACAATCTCAGCTCAGGGAACGATAGAGATCCCCCCACCCGCAACCGCTGCCCCATTCAGGGAAGCCCCATACCCTCACCTTCTGTGCTGTGCGGAAGTAGATGCTCTTGTCTGCTCCACAGCTGATCATACGGACTTGCCCATCGCTGGCTATGGAGGAGGGGGGCCTAGCTATTACCACAGCTCTTACCACAAGGGGGCCAGCCCTTCCTGTGCCTTCCCTCCATACTGCCCCACTGCTGAGCTACTCCACATGACCCAAACAACCAATTACATCAGGATGCTTCCCTCCAAACCTAAGCTTTCTGTTCACTCTGCCCTCAGCCAATGTGGTTGCTCAGTCACCTAGACTGAGAGTCTACATTCCACCTGTCTTCCTATCCAGCCCCAGGCCTCCCAGCTGCTGTCCCACACAGCTCTGTGACTGGCACATCCTTCGCATGGAAGCAGGAGGTGGGGGTGGAGGATACCGGTTGTAGGTGACAAGATGTGTCTCAAGTGCCCTGCCCCCACCTGCAAACTTGACAGCAGTGATAGAGGATGAGTGCTCGTCCAACGTCTGCTGCAGGCTGTATTCACGGCCAGCATCTAGCACATGGATGAGCCGATCCCGGCTCGCTGATGCCAACAGTTTCAGACCTGGGGTTGAAAGAACTCTATCAGCCCATGAGTGCCCAGAGCAAACCCCTATGCGGGTCCGGCAAAAGACCCACAGGAACTGAGCCCTATAACCCCGAGCCAAGTGAACTATGGAGCAGGCATGCAGCTGTCCTCCTCTAAACCTGTAAAGATATCAAGTGATTCAAACAATGTTCAGTCCCACATCCAAGAGCCAGGATGGACGCAAGTGGCACTCGAGGACTGGAGGAGCCCTGTGCCATTCTGGGCTAGATCCCGGGCATCCTTATTACCTGTGTCTGGCTTAGAGTACTCCAGGCATAGAATTTCTGAGTCATGGGCCTCCACCTTTAGCATTTCACTGAGAGACTGCAGCTCATGCACCCTGCAAAGATGAGAGGGAAGAGGGTGTTGACAGGTTACAAGAGGAGAGGCTCACTCTCCATTCTCTGCGATACCGTTCCCCTAACCGGTTTTTCAAATTATATTTTTATTTATTTTTGAACTTTTAGGTTTAGAGAAAAGTTGCAATGAGTATAGAGAATTTTCATATTAATGACAGTTCAAAAACCAGAACTGGGAAATTTACACTGGTACAATGGTATCAATTAAAGATCTTATTTGAATTTCACGTTTTTCCACAAAACCTTTTTCTGGATCCAGGATCCTATCAAGAGTCCAAATTGCATTTAACTGCTATTTCTCCTTAGTCACCTGTAGTTGGTGACAGCTCTTCAGTCTTTCCTTATCATTCATGACTTTGATGCTTTTGAGGAGTATTGATCACTCTTCAACACTCTTTAGAAGAGTATTGATTACTCTGTCCTACGTACCTCAGTTTCAGTCTGCCTGATGTTTTCCCATGACTGGACTGAGTTAATGCAATTGGGGCAAGAATACCACAGAAACCACACTATGCCCTTCTTAGTACATCATATTACGGGCTTCATGATGTTGACATGAGGATGATAAGTTTAATCACTTGGTTAGGATGGTTTCTGTTGGGTTTCTTCGTTGTAAAGTTACTATCTTTTCCGTGTATAGAGACATCTTGTTCCCCAATCTTTCTAAGCCAATTTTTCTAAAGCTCTGTCCTTTAGGACCTAACTCCCTGGGCCTGTGCTGTGAGAGACAGTCAGTACCACTCCAGGCCTGGCATTACCTGAGCGTGCCTACACGGTCCCCAGAAGCTAGATGCTGTCCGTTGGGGCTGATACACACAGAGCGAATGCCCACACGGGGATCCATCAGGGACCCATCGGCTTTGTCTCCTCCTGGCAGCTCAGTGTCCAGCAGGGCCTGTGTGTTCCCATCCACATAGATGATCTTAATGAGGTCCTAGGGGAGCAGGTCAGAATAGCAGGTGGATTAGGCAGGCCTGACCCAGTACAGCTGCAAGGGGAGAAGAATTGTGGACAAGATAAACCCCTGGCTCAAAGTGCCCAGCCCAACCAGAGCTGGAAGATCAAAATCTGGGGACCCAGTTTCTGAGAAGGAGGTGTGAGGCTGAGGGGATGGAGACATTAAGTGGGGAGTAGGTGGCCCAAGGCCTCAGGGCTCACATTGCTGAGAATGTTTCGGTGCAGGGTGGAGCCATGTACCCCCGAGCTCTCTGTGTTCCACAGGCGGATGGTGTTGTCTGAGGAACAGGTGATAAAGGAACTTGGAGGCAAGCAGGCCTGGTTACTGTCCTTCACTTCAGGGTAGACCTGAGGGGCAAAGGGAACAAAGTTAGATCTCCATGTAGGGAGCAGTCCTTTACCTGCCCAAGAAGATGGAAGGGAATGAGATTAAAGAGAGAATGCTGGGCAAGACTTAACCCAGAGTTTGTCACATAATAAGCAAGCCATAACTATTAGATACTCACTATTATTACTAAGGGCAAACACCTTAACAAAGCTTCTGCTATGTTCCAGGCATCTCCCACTTATATCATTTCATTTAATCCTTAGGACAACTAGAGTAATCAGGTACATCAGTTTACAGTTGAGGAAACTGATGAGTCAATTTCAGTAACTTGTCCAAGATCACCCAGTCCAGAATGAGGCAAAGCTAGGGACAGACAGGGGTATAATGGAAGAAGCCCAAGATACATAAACAGTAAAATTCAAGCTCAATCCTCAGGACCCACATGAAAATATGTGGATACACAGGGATGTTGCTGGAGAAACAAGGAGGCAGCAGGAATATGAAGACATCCTCAGGGACTCCCACCTCCTGCCCCACAGTGGTACCCCAGCAAACCTGGTCAGTCCCAAGCCAGCCCAGCCCACATACCTCTACACTCCAGACGCAGGAGGAATGATACAGAGCTGAGTACACCTTGCCCACTTTCTTGGGGTCCCTCACATCCCAAACATAAATGCTGTGGTCGTTGTATACACAAGACAGCCACTGATTAGTAGGATCAAAAGTCAAGGCAATGGTGTCTGGATACCTGGCATTGGCCACTCCAGAGAAGAGGCGACTGTGGGGAAGAGGACAGGGTAAATAGTGAGTGAGGAGCTGATGAAATGGAGGATTGAAAAGAATGAAAATAGAAGCCAGAGGAAAAAGGAAGGAGCAGAGCGAGCAGAGGAGCCCTCTCCAGACCTGCAGGGGGCAGCTGCCTGAAAAGGAAAAAGGTCTCTGACAGCTGTCGGCCAAGAACTGACTCCTGACCTGGCACTAGCTGTTGGACCACGGTTTTCTCATGATGAACACAGTGTCAGAGAACACCAAAGTCAGACAAGGTAACTCTGTGGCCATGATGCAACAGAACAAAAACAAGACCCCTCTACAATCGTGTCTGAGCACGGATAAACACGTCACTGTAGAAACCACAAAAATGACCAAACGTTTCCATTCCCATCTATCATGATTGACTGCTACTTCTTTGCCAATTACACCTTTAACCCCATACCTTCCCTTCCACCTTTAGATAAAAATTATTAAGAGGTCCATTTGTAGAATTGCCCCTACTTCCAGACAGCATCTAACCAGAGCAAAACTTCAACCCTTTGAACCATTCTTAAAATCATCTAATACAAGCCCACATATTACAATAAGCCCCGACTAACACCGTGTTTCCCACAGTGTGCAGTCTCCTTGGTCGCAACCAGTATCAATAAGCCCAAATTTGTTGATCTACAGAGGTGTTCCTGGCAATCACTGGGGCATTGATACACTCTTCACTTTGACTCCTGAAACATAGCCAGGGAAGGCTGGGCCCCGGGTGAGGCTCTGAAGGGAGGCAGGGGGCCCACACAGCTCACCTGGCCTCAGTGACACTGGCAATGTCTGTCCCCAGGGCATGGGGCCGGGGCAGTGTGCTGAGAAAGTGCAGATTAGAGGGGTTGAAGAGGCGCACGGTGCCATCAGCACAACCACAGAAGATGTAGTCTTGGCTCACGGAGATGCAGTGGGCCACAGTGGTCTGCAGGCAGAAGGGCTCAGGTAAGCAAGGGTTACCTGCCCAACCCCTCCTCAAGAGTCACCTGCCAAGAGGCAGGACTAGCCAAGGCAGAGGCGAGGAAAAAGCTCCCTAGTAGCTCTGGCCTGAGCCCTTCAGCTGTTATCTAGAGATACCCCTCCCTTCAGCAGCAGGTGGCCAGAGGGCCCAAAGCCACGTGCAGTTGGGGGATGGGAGTCAAGGACCCTTCTAAGGCACCAGAAGTTTGGCAAAGAGGACAAAGGAGGAAAAGCCCAGCAAAGAGAAAGAAACAGCAGGAGAAAGACAGCAGGTTCTAGGCACCACTTACTGTGAAGCTGTCTGTATTCTGAGAAGAGGGAAGCAGAGGAAAGAAAGATGGAAAGAGAAAGCAGAGAGGAGGCAGTTATACAGATCTCCAACGGCTGGAACTAGGCCAAGCTCTGGTTCCCCCCAAGCTTCTCTCTCCTGGGGTCCCCTCCTGCATGCACAAGGGCCTAGACCCCAGTATGGGGCCAGAGGCATCAGATCTCCCCTGAGCTGACACACGGGCAGCCCCTACCCATTGGGACAGAGGTGCTTACTCTCAGTTCCACCCACTTATCCAAAAGCCTCCGATCGCTGAACTCGCACAGCAGCCCTGAGGACGTGATGCAGAAGGTGCTGTCGGCCTTCTTCCCTCGACCACAGGCCACATCAGTGAACAGGTTGTTTCGTAGCTCCCCCAGTAGCCCTGAGCGGCCCAGCAGGGGCACAGTGGCGTTCACCTGTGGAGACACAGCACAGTTGCCACCCATCCACCCCAGAGACTGCCCCTGCAAACTAGGCCCTGCAGAGAGAGAGGGGAAGCAGCAAGGTCCCCTCACTCTTTGAGACTACTCCTTGGCTGGACAGCATCTGGCTCAGCCAGAACTTCTGTGTGGCTGCTGGGTAAGCAGAGAGGGGCCCAAGTGAACAGGATATTCTGGGGTGGGCTGAGTGGGCCCTGGCCCTGGAGCTACTTCCAGCCTTAGAGCAGCTCACCTTTGAGGTCTTACTGTCATCGAGGTACCAGAATTTGATGTGCCGGTTGCCTGCAGTGACAAAGTAGCTGCAATCTTCAGAGAAGGACACTGCTGTCACCCGACTGGACACCTTATTGGAGGCCACCACAATGTTTTTCTGAAGGGAAAGCCAAAGGAAGAATCAAAATTCTGCCTCTTAGGGCTAAGAAGAAAGAGGTTCAGAGGAAGGAGGAGGGGTTAGATAGGATTTGTACTTTAAAAAAATGTTCCTTCACAAGCTTTTTGGTCAGAAAAAGAAGGGAAAGAGAAAAATTTCTTTCTAGAGGAGCTAAAGAGATTCATTTTCTCTGTAGGTCCTCAAAGGCATAAAGCTAGCCACTTTCTACCAACACACTTGGCTACACAGTTGTTCTTTTCTGCTTCAGGTTATTTTCTAGAATGAGACTGAGATTAGCAAAATAGAGTGAAGGGGCTCAGATCAGCAGCTTCCTGGCTCCACAAATGGTCCATGAACCCCCATGAGGCTGTCAGGCCAGCCCACCCAGGCTACTCACCTTCCAGGCCCAGACATTGACGATCATGTCATGCTGGTAGCCCACAGACACAATGTACTTGGCGCTTGGAGAGAAGGCCACACAAGCCACACCATATTTATGCTCCTGCAGCTCCGCCACCTGGCTATGCTCAGCCACGTCCCAAACCCGGACAGCAGGCATGTGCCCACTCTGCAGGGAGGCAAGAATGAGAAATAAGCAACAGAGCATACAGCCTCCCCGAGACTTTCAGGGTCGGGGCCCTCATCCTCCCACCCCTAGCTACTCAGTACAATCTCTCCCTGGCAAGAGTCAAGAGGAGAGTGCTATTACAGGGCAAAGGTATTTTAAAAACATGATAAATATCTCAGGACAACGATTATCAGGAAGAAAACAGCCCCAGATTTTGTTCAATATCTGTGTCAGGGTGTGCACCTCTGTATTTGTTCAAAATTCCTTGAGTGATTCTTGATGGGCCTCCAGGGTTGAGAACCTGAGTGGTAGTGCACTCATGCCTATTTCTGCCTCCTGTGCCTCCCTGTAAGCCTGAGAAGGCAGAGGCATCCCGCATGAGCCCAGCAGGGGGCCTCCAGGGATAAGGACTATTTTAAGGCAGTGGTTTTTCAAACCCTGCTTCCCCAGCCAGCAGAATCTGTACAGGGGAACTTGTCAGAAATGTAAATTCTGGGGTCCCGTCTCAGACCTAGAGAATCAGAAACCCTGGGGGCAGGCTTGACAATGTGTACTTCACCAAGCAATCCAGGCGATTGATTCTCACTAAGGTTTAAGAACCACTGTTCAGGCAGAGCAAAGACTAGGATTTAGCATCTGTTCAGGAAGCCAGACCGGCAGCAGCCCTATCTAGGCCTAGGACTGCAGCTCTCTGTTGAGGCCAGGCCACCCACCCACCTCAGAGGACTACAGCCCCCATTCCTCACTCACCTCTCCAGTGACCAGGTACTTGCCATCAGGAGAGAAGGCAAGGGCAGTGATGGTTTTCCTGCAAGACATGAGGCAGGCTCAGAGGAGCACTGACAGTCTGGCCTAAACCTGGCTCCCACAGAGTTTTCTTGAAAGGCAAGATGAGCAGACACTAATGGCACATGTGGTGGCATTTTGCTATCTGATCCTGGGCCCTACCAGGTCCCAGGCCTCAGAGCCTCAAAGACCCCAGACAGTGCCCTTTTTACAACTTCCAGGAAATGGAGGTGCTCCCTGAGGGCCCAGACCCATTTACCTGGAACTGTTGAGGATGTGGTGCTGTTTGTGTTTTCGGGGATTGAACAGCACGACCACACACCTGGGGAGATGAGGGAGACAAGAGACTTAGCACCAAGCCACAGCTCCCCTAGCAGCACCCTGGCCACCTGGGAACTCCCGTCACTCAGCACAGGGAGCTGTGTAGAGCAATTTGAGAGGGGCTGTACTTGCTACTGAGGGCAACTGAGTGCTTGCTGGCAACCTAGTCTTCTTGCTTCCCCTCCCCACTCACAAGGGCCTATCTGTGCAGCCCCATGAGGGTGAAGGCTTCCTGGAAGCCTATCCCACCAGGTCCTAAGTACCAGCACCATCTCTGGTCATACCCACAAAGGGCAGCAAGGACACAGGCCTTCCCACAGCCCTTGCACAGAGCCCAGGAAGGGGTGCAGGAGGGAAGAGTACATGTGATTTGGGCAAAGCAGCAGCCAGTTTACAGGCTTAGAGCCATAAGTATGATAAGAGTTTGTGCTCCACGGAGGGGTGAGGCCTCTCATATGTGAGCCCACATGTGTACCTGGCAGGAGCCGGCCCCATACTCTGTACGTGTCAGATGAGGAAGAAGGTGGGAGGCAGGAGGCCAGAACTTCAGGGAGGCTCAGTAAGACTAGGGGGAGGGGGAGAAAGCCCCAGAGGGCCTGGGGAGGCCTGTGCAGTGCTGTGGAACTCCTGTGCGCAGCCCTGAGAATCCCCGGTCCCAAAAGGCCTGAGAAGGGCCCTCCAGACTGCCAGAAGACAGTCTGGGACTCCTCCCACCTGCATCCTGTGCAGAGAAGGGTGGGAGTACCCTCTCTGACCAGGCAGCAAGGCTGGGAGGGATCAGGTTCAGACCCTCCAGACGCAATTCCAGAGGGAGGCCAGGTGATAGGAGTCAAAGCAGGAAGCAGGAAGCCATAGCCAGGCAGTGTTCTCCCTTGGGCTCCAGCAGGCCTGGGCCCGTTGCCCCTTCCACCTCACTACTTCATCAGTACTGTAAGTAGCTGACAGGAGCAAGCCTGCTACATGGGGAGAGACTGAGCAGAGGGAGATATCCCCCAGACCCAACCTGGTTTCATGGGAAGGCCACTGCCTGCTAGAAACTTAAAGCAAAGGCAAGTACAAGCTGCTAGTAAGTGCTTGGCACATTAAGCTCCATAAACCACTTCAAAATGCAAATTCCACAGGTAATCTCTGGGGTCACCAGGATCTCTGAGGTACTAGATATGCCCAGAACTTCCAGGCTAAGCAGCAAAGCCTTGAAATTCCTGAGTCACATTGTCTTCTCTTCTAACTCCTTCCCCAAATTCATCCTCACTGTTTCCTTTCTCCTTCTCTCCCCATCTCCTCATCTCACCTTGTTCCCCTTTCTTCATTCCTTTCTTTCTTTATACCAACCTCTAGTCTCCTGCTTCCCTTGTACAATGCCATGTCAGAAAGGTTTTTAAATATATGACAAAAGTCAAAGGGCCTTGGAAACTCTGTGCCACATCACTCTTCCTCCCCTGTTCCCAAACACACACACACACACACATCCATGCACACTTGCCCAGCTTCTGTTACGGGCAGTCCAGGATACAGGGAACCTAATTCCTCCAAAGCAGACAGACTCATAGAACCTTAGAGCTGGAAGGAAGGGTGGAAGGAATTAAGTGCACTGTGCAGAGGGCCTGTGTCCTCTTAACGTTGGTTAAGCGTCCAACTTTGGCTCAGGTCATGATCTCAGGGCTCATGAGTTTAAGCCCCACACTGGGCTCTGTACTCACAGCCTAGGGCCTGGCACCTGCTTCAGATTCTGTGTCTTCTTCTCTCTCTACCCCTCCCCTGCTCACGCTCTGTCTCTCTCCCTCTCAAAAATAAATAAACATTAAGAAAATTTTTTTAAATTAAATGCGCTGTGCTAGGTGACTTTAAACATCACCTAGTCCAATCCTACAGAATTTTGAGATGAGGAAACCTAGACTCAGAAAATTCCTACAAAGAGCAGAGCCAGGATTCTCAGGTCTCCTGACCCTCAGTGCTCTTTATATCAAACACACGTGCATGTCTGATCTGATCGTGTCATTCCTGGACTATCATCCCTGGGGGTGCTTCCAAAACAAACTCCTTAAGTACCCATAAAGGCCCTAGATGGTATGACCCCTGCCCACCCTTCAGCTTCACCCTAAACCATGCTCCAACCACATTCTTTCACTCTCTTTAAGAGAGTGTGCTCTTGGGGCGCCTGGGTGGCTTAGTCGGTTAAGCGTCCGACTTTCACTTAGGTCATGATCTCGTGGTTCGTGGGTTCGAGCCCCGCGTCAGGCTCTGTGCTGACTACCAGCTCAGAGCCTGGAGCCTGTT